TTGTAATTGTTCGAGCGTCCAAAAGTTTTATTCTAGAGCGTCTTCGAAGATATTTCACTAATTGTAACAGCTATAAAACCTGCACAGRTTCAATTTATACTAAAGGTAACTTGTGGATGTTTCTTGTCTGTTTTTGACTATGTTGTTTTTGGTTCAAATCTAATGAGGCAACATGGCATCTGACAACTTTGACTTTTACATGTAGCGCGAAGAATTCTGCTTGAAATGGCTATTTATCTAGCTTGTTTRCACTTAGTAAAATAYCTAARACATGCAAATTTTAGCTATTTGGCCGTTTCTGCATGGAACGAATTTCACAAGGGGAACTAGATAACCGTCATGTACAGTTATCTTTAGTTCATCGTTGTGACAATCGCACAAATACTGTTGTAAGTCAAAACCTGTCAAAAATACTAGGAAAAACCTAAGGAGACGTTTCAGAAACCATCCATTTTCAAAAACATATCTTTCAGATATCGTTTAATACGTGATTTAATACTGGATGGTCRGAATTCAATGAAGATGGAGAAGGATTTYGGGTTTGTGCTTTGTTCGAAGTACATCGATCAAAACTCGCGCCCTTATAAGTTTACATCATTCGATGGACTGGTTAATTTTTGATCAGAATAGCGTTTTCGTTATATTAAAGGGAAGAAATTTAACATACTTGTAGCGAGTAATACCAGGGTTAGCAATTAGTCTGTATACGATTTATAATCATTTCTTCACTATGATTTAATTGAATTGGTCATGCATTTTAAAGTATTAATCAATATACCACAACTTATTCATGTGTAGTTTTAGCACTTGGCTTTATTAAATTTGCATATGGTAAAAAAAGTATTCTCTGTGTTGCTTTTTTACCAGGTATCACCTAGGAATGGATTCGTCACCAGAAGAGAAATTATCCAAGTTATTTGTTGGTGGGCTAAGCCATGACACAACAAAAGAATCCCTGAAAGCATACTTTGAACAATATGGTCCAGTCAAAGACTGCAATGTAGTTTATAATCCAACCACGAAAAAGCCCCGTGGGTTTGGGTACATAACCTTTCAAGACCACAACTCCGCACAACAAGTTCTTAACATAAAAAATGAAAATGGACCACATGTAATAGATTCAAAGCAATGTGAAGTTAAGAGAGCTATTCCTAGGGATGCAAAAAGCGAATTCTCTCATGAGAAAACTGACAAAATCTTCATTGGTGGTTTGCATGAAGATGCTACGCAAAAAGATGTCGAGCAAGTTCTCATCGAACAACTTGGACACCCGCCCAAGTCTATCTCCTTAATGCTTAGAAAAGAGGACAGTTCCAAGAACAGAGGTTATTGTTTTGTTGAGCTTCAACTAACAGATGATGCTGACACATTGTATTGCATAAAAAATATTGACATCTTGGGGAAGATGGCAGAAATCAAGAAGTCCAATCCACAAGGYCGAGGGGGTGTTAAAGCTGCAGATGCTTTCAAGGGGGCTGCTGCAAGCCCTGCTATGGCTGGTGGTTACCATTATCCATCMCCCTATGGTGCTGCTGCCTATGGGGGGTACCCACCATATGATCCATATGCAGGATACTTCTACGAGAGYCCTATGTATAGTGGGTATGGCTATATGCCAAGTTATGGCGCCAATGGGTACAGTGGCATGGGGATGTATAATAACCAATCAGCATCAAGTTTTGGACCATCAAAGGGAGGTACTGGCGCAGGCCGAGGGTTTCGTCCTTACTAATRCATAATGTAAATATAAGGTATGTTATAAATAACAACAGCTACATGTTTGTATAAAATATATAAAATATTATTAAATCATTGTATAAAACAATGTGTGAAGTATATTTTAGGCAGTTTATACTGTATTATTGCATATTGTATAAAATRTAAATTATTTTTGAACAACTTGAGAAAAGAGTTATAATAATTTTAACTTTTTTTAACTGAATGGAACAATTTGCAACTTAAAAATAGGTTGATATGCTTTTTGCAGAATAACTAAGTTTACATCAAAAGTTTGATTTGAGATCTTTATTCAATGGCAATAATATTGTAACAAAATTGAAGAAATATATTCATAAAATCATTTTGTTAACAGCACAGAATACTTATACAAATTCATCTATTTTAATACTAATATATTGTTTTGATATGACATTTATTTTGTATATCTTATTTCTCTAGGATATGTAAGTATATAATATTTTATATTGTGAATATAAATCAGTATTGAAAGCAAAACATTGTATAATATTGTACAGTAATACATTATAATTCTGCAATTTATAGTATTCGGTAATTTTGCTGTACAGTATTTAAAATAACCATTGTATAAATTTCCACAGGAATATTGATTATAATATTTATTGTTAATAAATTAATAATATTATATTATATCAGGTTTAAGTATTTCCATTTTATATCTATGTATAGGTTGCTAGACAAGTCTTATGATCAGCCATAGTATAAGAAGCCATATCGACGAATTAGTAATCCAATAAGGACAGGAATATCTACAAACTATTTTTATAGGAGCTCAGTTTCTTCATTACTTGTATGTATTGTTTTTATATAAGACACGTGACTCTTATTAAAAGTACTCTTTCATCATTGTTGTTTGAAGTTATTGAAGTTCTATAACTATATATATGATATCAAAGAGGCAAGATTTTGCTGTAACTCCGAGTTTCGTGCTACGCACTCATCAGACAGTATTTAATGAAGTTCTATAACTATGAAAGATAAACAAATTACTTTGAACAAAATCATTAATATTACCCTGAGTTTCATCCAACATTTATCCAAAAATACACAGGCTACTCATATGATTGAGGGGTTTTTTCGTTGTTGTTACTTTTTGTTATGTATAAGATTATAAATCCTGTATTTTCCAGGGCATGATGTGCTCGATGGTTTAATAAGATTAGAAATTTGATTTATGTTGCAACAGCCCTGTGTTTTATCAAAAACAGGTAGCTCAGTGTACCCTGATTATATTGACTGATATCTGAATGTTTCACGAAATGAATCCTGTCACAAATAAAACTGTGAAGATTTTAAGTCACAAAATGTTGCATGTTGAAGAATGTTCCTTTGGGCTCCCTGTGTAACATATTCCCGCCATGTCAGCGGTTGACAAAATGCGCATGCTCAAATCCATTATCATTGCGTCTTCCTTTTGTTCTTGACGGCGTCCATTGCTGCTGGAAAAGTTTCACTACGTAGCTAAAAGCAGCTAGAACAGGGCAATCAAAGTAAGTAGTCGATTTTATGATTCATAATTATTATCTTTGAATACCTTTTAATGTATTTGTCTTAGTTTAAGTTGACGAAATTACGTAAAAGAATTTAATTTCTGCGGTCTTTGTTTGATGTCGAAWGAAGCACATGGGCTTGGCCCCCAAAACTGTCTTAAATCTCCAGAATTTCGTTGAAATTCGCTCTAAATATCAAATTTGATTGCATTTAAGTATTTAATTTTCGTTAATTCTATTATTTATAACCGTTGTGCAGTAATTTTCGAGATAYWRTCGTGAAATCGTTCGCCACGTGTTCGAGGCCGGCTGTATGCGTGTCTTTGTCAATTTCACCAAGAAATTCGTTCACTCGAACGAAGTCGTTCGATTTGCGTCTTCATAGTCTGWGAKAWRAGRGGTAAGARWAGCGAACCAATCTCGATGCACTAAAAAGTTATGATAAGCTCAAAAAATTTATGATAWAAGCTAAAATCATGCGTTTTTATATATCTACCATAGGCATATTTCATTTTTTGATAAAGCTAGTTTTCTGTATAATGTTTGAATCTTATAATTGTTCAAGTGGTAGAAAAAGTGGGAGAAAAAGTTCGGATTGTAGAGCATTTGAATGCGAAATTATTCGCGACTGAACATACACAAAATTTGGTAAAGATGTATGTTGGTAATCCAGACGGTGGTCAGATGTGAACCAACTCGTGAACCAAAGAACTTTATACACTCATTTTTGTTCTTATATCTTTATAATACCCATAGTTATAACATAGTTTGCATCATCATAGAATGCATATTGGGTAGTTCCAGAAAATATCCGTACCATACGACGGGCGGCATTTCGGAAATCCACGAGAAATAAAAAACACGATTTTGGAATTCCTAAGGTTAGGGGAGATACCCAATTTCGGAATTTCCCAAGGAGAGGGGGGGTCGAAAATCGATGCCGCCCGTCGTATGGTACGGATATTTTCTGGAACTACCCATTAGATAATTTTTTTTTTTTGACGTCACATGAAACCCAAGAATATCTTGACTGATGTTTCTTTTTTTTTCCAGGTCATGGCTGCTGTTGAAGGATGGAAAGATAATGCTGTATTGAAGAAAATTTATGTTGGCAAYCTAACAGAAGTAACTGATGAAGAAAAGTTACGAGGATACTTTGGTCAATATGGTGAAATTACCGAAGTTAAATTGGTTCGCTTTCCAGATGGAAAGTCCAGGAAGTGTGGCTTCATCACTTTTGACAGCACTGATGTAGTGGACAATATTCTTTTCAATTTTGAATCGCACAACGTTGACGGCAAAAGTATTGATGTGCGAAGAGCAATCCCAAAAGACGACCCAGACCCAAATGCTCACATCAGAACCAAAAAGCTATTCCTCGGTGGTCTAAAAGACTCGCACACTGAAGATCATATCAAGACGACTTTGGCAACTTTCACTTCCTTTGCGCCTGTAAGCATTCGTTTCATGCGTGGCAAAGAAGACAACAAGTTCCGTGGATATGCCTTTGTGAACTTTGAGAAYGACCATATYGTTGACAAGCTGTTCCTCATCCGTAAATGTGTCATTGATAATATTCCAGCAGAAATGAAGAAAGCATCAGAATTTGGAAATGCCGGTGGTGGGGGCGGCGGCGGAGGTGGGCGTGGTGGTCGCGGAGGACGTGGTGGACGAGGTAGGGGAAGAGGGCGTGGTGGTGCAGGAGGTGGCGGYGGTCAATATGGTGGACAGTATGGTGGTGATTATGGAGGTAGCTATGGGGGAGGGTATGAAGGATATGGTGGATATGGTTATGGAGAGGGCTATGGTAGAGATAGTGGAGCTTCTTATAACTATGGTGGYTATAATAATTATGGTGGTGGATATGGTGGAGGTGGTGGATATGGTAATGGATATGGAGGTGGGAACATGGGACAGTATTCGCAAGAGCAGTCTGGCTATGGACCMAGCAGAGGAGCGAGAGGCGGTCGAGGTAGAGGCAGCTATAGGCCTTACTAGACAGTAGTAACATTTTATAGATAATCAACCATATCGAGGGCTTTGTTTTGTTGGTGGATTTTATTAAGCATGAAATTTTCATGAACCAAGAAAATGATTTCAGGACCTTGCTCAAAGAAGTTTTGATCAGCATTCTAGAACGTTTGATCTTGATTAAGATTTTTGTCAACTTGGTCACTCAATAACTGTACATAAGAGCTTGATGGTGCAAACGCCTGCATAGACTTGATTATGAATATAAGACAGCATATCTTAGCACAGCAACAAATTGTAAGACGTTTCCTTTCATTTTTTTAACTTTTGTAAGAAAAGATTCCAATGTACCTATACTTACTCGTCTTTTAATCTTTATAATATAGAAAATAAATTCTTTTTTCTTTGAACAAGTTTTTGCCTATTGAGTTTTTTTTTTATTATTATTATTTTGAAGTTATTGTCTTAGTTTTCAGCATTTTTATGAAGAAGAACAATGTTTTCACTTTCATTTCTGGAGGTTTGAAAGAATGGCTTCCATCAGAAGAAGTTTTTACTATTTTTCAATTTTCTGGMGAATTTGAAGAGTAGTTTTTGTATCCTAATGYGTGAAGGTAAAGTAGAGTTTTTRTAATTTTTGCTTTTCAGTGTTTTTYAGTTCAGTTGTCTTTGTTTTTGTCTGTTTCTTTCTTTTTATAAAAGTTTCCCTGTTATGTATGTACTGTTTTGAATCTACTTAACAACAATTTAAACATTTCCAGGGGTTTGCATATTTATGCTTACCAAATACAGTAGTACAACATAGTACAACAAAATTTCAATGTTTTTGTATGTTGATGTKKTGGRTTATTCTGAGGCCATTGTCGTTCTTGATGATTTTGATGTTGATAACATTAATTTGTTGCTTTTTGTTTTTCATTTTCAGACCAAGTTGAGTCCATGATTTTGTTTTATGTTTTGGTTTTGTTTTCTTCATAATTCTACAACAAGTTTTTGCCATTTCAAGAACACCAACATTTCTAAAGGTTCTGAGTTCTTTCTTTCAACAGATGATAGAAATTTGTGAGTTTTACTATGGACGTTTTCTCAATATTTTTATTTTGCTGACAAAGTTTTCATGTTAGAATAATGTCAAGAATACCAATCATTCCTAACAGTTTTGTGATTGTTGTTCTTTCAGCATTTTTGTAATTTTATTTTAAGGGTTCCACTAACTTTAGTACCATTTTTGACATTTTAACTATTCGTAGTTCCTTCACTGTTGTTCTTTTAGTTTAGGCTGACTTCATCAGTATCATCACATTCTAATATCAAGGCCTGTATACTTCATATTGTCATTTGTCTTGAGGCAGATTTAAATGATTTTTTTTTCTTCAAAAGAAAAGAAATTGCACAGAGAGCTAATTGAACCATATAGTGTATATCCAGTTGCATCACTTCATGTAAATAAGTCTTATCTTACCTCGAAACAATTTACATTTAGAGTGAAGTCAGAAAATATGTAAAAAACTGGACTATTGATTTACTTCACTCTAAGGTAAAGCATTTTACTGGCTTTGTTTTTCAGCAATTGCACAAAATACACATCTGTATTAGATATTTTTTTATTTTTCTAATGAATTTAATTAATCCTTCAGCTAATATCCTTCAAATTATTTTTATCATTCCTATATATTTTGTTTATAACATTGTAAATAGTGGAAATTTATGCTCAATATTTATATTTTTGTAAATTTGTAAAAAAAAAATGTATTTTTCAGTTAAATACAATAGAAACTGTATAATATTAAAGAATTCARGTTTTTATTGAACTTTACAGTGTTATGAATAAATCTCTTTGCTCAAAATCTCTGTGTCATCACTACAAAAAAAAGTTTTCTCTAATAGAGTTATCGCACTTAATCCGTGCAACTGTACAAACTAAATGGCAATGTTTAGTTGTATTTAGTAATTAGTTGTATTTAGTAAATCATGCATGTGATATGCAAATTGAATTGATACAAATGAAGGATTCAATACTGTCTTGCTTCAGGTCCACTTTTAGTACAAATTAGTACTACTTAGATTTTGTACAGTTGCACGGATTAAGTGCATTCTCTCTAACTATTGTTCTAAAATTTAGTGAAGTCATTAAACCCGTGAAACAAAAGATGACTCTTTTGATTCTCGAATGGACACAAGATAACAATGTGTACTAAGGTGTATAAGTGTAATGTCCGTTTCACTTGTTTGACTTCACTCTTACTTCTACTTGGTATCCTACAGCAAACGCAGGAAAACCATGAAATAAAATCTAACTCAATACTAACTAAAAGCAGCTATTTGGAGACAATTTGTCAGTATCGAACTAGAACACAATGAAGATGAATCCACATGGGACCATTTTTCATTCATTTTTATTGCGTTCTGGATCATTGATACTGACAGTTTGTCTCTAAATTGCCGCTATTTGTTAGTATTTAGTTTGATTTTATTTCATGGTTTTCCTGCGTTTGCTCTATTGTCTTGACATAATTTAGGTTTCCGTGTCATCTTGGATGACGAGGAGAAATTCTATTAAGGAAATAACAGGGTTGAGTTTGTAGCATTTTAATTCAAATCTATAAACAATGATATACATCAAATAAAGATAGCCTCAAAACACTGTCAGCTTTCTATGCTGGTCCTTTTGATGGATTTTTTGCTTGATAATTTTTTCATTCTCCTTTAATTGTGTGATGTGATGTTCCATGTCCTCYACTTTCTTCTTGAAAATAGAGCTTGTGCTTCTATCCCTTGAAAGAAAATAATAGTGCATGTAATGTTTATGGGCAAAATGATGTTTGTATTAAAACATGACGTCACCATAGATCTATAGTTTTTTTTTGTCTTACGTTGATTGTCTTTGGTGCGCTTGTTTCTTTTTCTTTAACTGTTTTTCAGCTGCAGCTATTTCCTCRTGAATTTTAAATAACTAATCGCAAACATGGAAGCATATGAGTAAGTTATTTTTATAATAAAGTAAAAATTCCTTTTTGAACACARCATGAAACAAGACAGGGTATACTGCATGTTTGGGGAAGATGCACTATAWCAGTGTAATAAATAGACCCTTTGTACCTTAATATTCCAATTAGTGTTCTGGTCACTTTCCACAGCTTTTTTCCTCTTTTGATCTTTAATATCAAATTGTCTACCAGGTGGGAGAGAAGCTTTTATATCTTCAATATTACCTAACATAATATAAAAAAAACTTTGCCTCACGAAACTCCTTCGAAATAGGGTTGTTATATGACAAAGAATCTGTTTTGAAAATGACCATAAAATTTATACACAAGTCTGCCACCCTTCTAAATTATTTAGTAGTTGAACAAATTTTGTAACAAAGTTTGATACCTTTACTACTGCCAAGTTTATRATTTATGAATGCAAAAACATCATTTCTTGTGCCCTACAATGTAAAAAGAAACAGTGAACATTTTAATTTAATTATCAACAAGTGTAAAGCTAGTGCTTTACTAGTGCTAATGCTAGTGTTTACATCTTTCTTGTGTGCTGTTTTGGCTTGGTCTGTCAGACYTTTCTTTTTCTTTTTAAAAGGTTCTTTTAGTCTCTTTTTCTCTCTCAATTCTGCACAAACATCTAAAGATTTCCCTGAGAGAAGAAGATGTGATAACATAATAAATCAATCAATGACATGGCTGATAGATAAATGCATCGATACAGTAAATGGATTTAGTTAAGGGGGAGAGAACAATAATCTGCTAATAATTCAAGATTAATACCTTGAGGTAAGACTACTACTTCCACAGGGTCAACTCGTCCATCGCAATCCTTGCCAAGTCCTTTCCTTATATTCAAACAAAAAAAGGGGCAAAGTTATGATCACATGTCAAAAACCTTTTTCCAGTTACTGACACCTTAAGTGCTGCTGGGCATCCTGTGTCTTAGACAGGACACAGGAAGCCCAGTGAAGCAGTTGAAGGATGGAGCTCATTACATTAGTTAAGACTGGTCAAAGGATAGGAACAAAAAAATTCAACAATAATTATTAAGTACCCAAAAATGTATCCCATTTTTGCCATYAGCTTTGATCCAATGCCCTTACAAAAAGAAATTAAAGAAAATAAGAAACAATGAGTGAGTATTTGACTCAAAATGTTAAAAAGTTTGTGCATACTCTGGTGTGCTGCTCCCAGTCTCCAAGACTAGTCCCGCTTGGTTTCCATTCCAAAATCAAGTCATTGTCATCCATGGTAACATCATTGGTCGACAGACTGTTGCTTGATAGTGATGATGTATCATCTTCATCAGAGTCATCTGGAGAGTCAATCTCATCTAAAAGGAAAAATAATAAAAAATTAAAATAACAAACGTTGTTCTAAATATGAAACTAAAGTGGAAAAATTATTTGAATCACCAATCTTCTTACTGAACACAAATGATTTAGTAAAATACACTAAATAGTTCAAAGAGGTTAGTAAAATTTCACATATCAAAAGTGTTCACCTAAATATCAGAGTCAATGCAAAAACAAAAAAAACTATAAATATTTATAATAATCAATACCAAGTGGGAATACAGCTTCCATTCCTAGTGTGCTATCTATATTGTATGTATCGTAGTGCACAAGAAATTCATGTTGGTCTTTATTAAATGATCTGTTGAAAGAGCAAAAAGGAAATTCAAACCAAGGTAAATAACACTTTATTATTAGCCATATTGTCCCTATATTTACAAGTCAGGATCAGATAGGTTTAGTCCCATTTGTAATATGTTAGTTCTAGCATCTTCTGGTGAACCATGGAAGACCCTGGGAATGATAACTTCACTTCAAAAGTTTAAAAAACAATTACACTCATCCAGGTGAATTTGCCATTTGCAAAGGATATGAAAAATATAACCGGTTTTTCAAAATATCAAAATATTGATACTTTTCAAGCATCTAAACAATTTATTGGCATTAAAACTATGAAGAGCTTCTTACTTAATTGTTGCCTTGTACCAAACACCATCAGTATATCGAGCCAAGCACTGATGTCCYTCTTTGATATCACTAGTAAAAACAGACGACATCAAGATGTCAAATTCAAAGCATTTACATCATCAAAGATTAGACTAATATTATGCCATCTTCAAGATGCTGTACAYCTTAGCTTTGCAAGTTGTTGTTGCTGATAAAATCATGCTTGTCTAGTACCTAAAGTTTGGTTCCCTGAACGGCTTGAGGTGGTCAATATCTACCACATATCCATGCGAATACCTGAAATAGAGAAACCCAAGGTTTAACGTCCAGATACCCAGCCCAAGGCCTTGATGCGCACTCAATAAATGTATGACATAAAAATAGATACCAAAAAACATAACACGCAATGATTTCATACCTGCACTCATCAGCATCAAACCTACATTTTCCATCCAAAAAATATGGACATGGTACCATTGAAATATGTGTTGGATTTAGAAATAAGACTCGGACCTGTATAACAAARGAACACTTTATTGCCTGAGTATATTTTTTTACCCTCTATGCCCCAAGCAGTCATAGCCCAAGTGAGCTCTTCGTCAATGATCACCTTTGCTTTATCTGGATCACGTTGATCATCATYGTCATCTGGTATCTCGATACTAAATACCATGGCATTGTGATGCTGGCTTAACCCCCATTCCTATGAATGAATAAGAGAAACTATAAATGGAAATACTTTTTTCATCATGTTCATTCAAATTGCAGCTATAAGAGACCAAATTTGATCAAATCAAAATCAGAACAAATAGAGTATCAACCAGGGTTCATCAAGGCCTAACTTGAAACCAGATCATGGGATTGTAAGATCGATGTCAATATGACCACTTGGACTTGCTGAATAGACAAGGGAAACTAATAGGGATATTTCACTTCCATCATCAAACATGGTACATAACAAACMATCTTAAAAGACAACTAACCTGTGTGTACGATACCCTACATTTTGTACCAATCACATCTTCTTCCCCAACTTCTTGATTATTCAAATCATCTGCCTGAATACAAAACAACAGCTAAATACCATTTATGTCTTTATAACACATGTTGCAATATTGTATTAATTAAGGCAAAAAATACCTCATTATATGGACCGGTTTCTAACTCATTTGAAGTCGATGGTTGGCTTGTTTCTTGGTCATCAATCATTTGAAGTAATCTGCTCTTCTTCAAAGATAATAAACTCTCTGAAAGAAACAAAATTACTCTCACAAATGTATGTTAGGGACGAGCAGATTTAAGGATTTAAGCGGATTTATACCTTCAAAAACATGGATAAGTTCCACTAAATCATCTCTTAACTTTACGAGCTCTTCTTGKCCTTCTTCTCCAGTAATCTTTAAAACGTTCTGTACTTGAAGAAACTGTGAGAAAAAGGAAACTTGTAAAGCAGCTTGTCTATAAATTATATCAAAATTCTAAAATATATTAGCCATAACAACCTGCTCCTTGTATTGCTCGATGTCCTTCGTCAGTCTTTCTTCATCCATGTTTGTAATTTATGACTTTTACAGAAGAGAAATGASCATTTTCTMATCTAGAGCTTCTTTYCACAATATTTACAAGGCGTTCCTTCAAAGTAAATTTTTGTAGTGCTAGTCTTTCTCGACTGTAAAACCACAGGCCTCCCGGGGGCAAATCCACAAATCAACGCCTTCTCGACTTTATTTTATTTCCTTTCCTTACCATTTATTTTACATAGAAAAAAAATTATACAGTTTCGCAATTAATGGATTGATCACTTGTTTATATTAGTTTAATATTAGGTCCACCGCAAAGAAACTTGGGACGGCAAACGGCATCGAAGGAGACGAGAACCTTGTGCTCTTGAGAATGCCCTTGGTCATTCTAGTCAACTTCTAATCAGAACAGCGTTTCTTCTCTATTTATCAATTTAATCAGTTATTGATGAAAAGGTCCTCAGCAGGCATTCATTGACCCTCCTCATGGCAAAGGAAGCCCAGTAGGTTGCTTGCCGAGGAGGTTTTATTAAAGACAATTATTGGGTGCGTCAATTAATTAATAAACTTTCCCTACATAATACGCCTACCGCGCATCAACTCCATACTGTTCAAACGAAAAATTGTTATAAGAAATAAACAGAAGATTCATGCTATGAACAAATCAATATATACATAAAATATGGCGTGGTGCAGACTTAACAATGCCAAGTTCCCATCTTGCCCCTAAACCTTCCTAATCAGTACTACTGCAAGGCTCAAGCAAATTGCGGTCCACGTCGTCAATCACGAGTACATCACGTGACTTCATACACGCATGCGCAATATAGGGCAACCCTTTGATAATAAGGCGAACGATCTGAGATAAAATGGCAGCTAGAACAGCCAATAGAAAAACAACTGGAAGCGCCGTTAAGATGATGATTTGAATCCAGTCCACGATATCCTCGAACGACATTAGTGGACCTTTTTGCACTTCTCCAAATGATATAAAACTAGCTTTGAAGGTGTTGATGGACGCTAGAGTGAACAAGCAAAACAAAGACACCATCTCGACGATATTCGCACTTGGGTCACGAAATGGTCGTACAATGGTATGGTGGAGAAGTATTGCAACTGAGGTAAATGCCAGTAAAAGTTCTTTGGACAAAGGATCATGCACAAACACGTAGATTACAATAAGAATCAGCCGTCTGGATATCAGAATACTTTCCCAGTAGACGGCACCAAAGCTGTCATCTTGTGGAGCTCGAAAAGGACCGAATAGCACTTTCGTGACAGCCGCTCTCCACTCGCGCGACTCTTGGTTTGCTTCGTGGGTTCCACGCAACAATGAAATCACTTT